ATAGGATAGTTATTTAACACCAACGCCTATTCTATCTGTTTTATTTCATCATTTAGGTCCTTTCTTGTGCTGTCGTTGAATCACTAACCGACAATAATTAGAATCAAGGCCGTCATTTTTAAATTACACATTTCCAGGTAACAAATCCAATTAGCAAGCTCTACTATTTGCCGTGAGTTTTTGCTAACTACTTATATCAATGAATCAGTAGTATATAGAATCATGATTTTCCATTACTTTCGCTTTCAGTAATCAAATCCTTAGTATAAATTTCATTAAACTGTTCATGAGTAGAAAACTACGAGATTTTTATGTGCAAACAATGTGGACTTTTTTAAAACTGATCATATAAATATTCAAACTGGAGGGATTTCAAGACGAGAGTCCGCATATGTGAATGTTTCAACATTATGCTTCATAAAGATTAAATGTAAAACTTAGAAGTACTTTCATTTATTGATTTAAGGATAAAACTTGGGTATTATGGTGTTAGAGTATAATTCCATTATGGATAAGATTTCATTTTGATAAATCACACAGTGTTATGCAGTAATATTAACTGATGACCACGTTTCAAGCACAAATTATTATTGTTACTCATAGTCATACCAAGGCGATACTCACACAACTTTATTGCTTCGTTTATATACATGAGTAAAAATTGATGATCATACATTTGAATAAAAATCAATATAAAACTTGTTTAAAACAGAAAGAAAGACGAAGTACATTCGGAAGCAATATCAGTGCTATTAATAAAATACAATACAACCAATCCTCATCATATTATATTTATTAATAACGCTAATATTATTTCCGAATGTACTTTATCTTCTTTTCTGTTTCATGCATGACTTTTACTGATTTTAGTAATAAGTTGAATCAGTAATTACTCATGTATATAAACGAAGGAAGTAAGTCATGTGAGTACCTTGATATGATTATGAGTCCTAGTTTGGGAATCATCGGCAGTACGCACCCACTACCATTGGGTTCGAAACCAGGACCTTCCGGTTACAAGGCAAGCTCGTTTATCGTTCAGTCACTGGAAGCCGATGCAATGGTCAACACATGAATTATAACTTCTACCAATTCTTGATTTATCGCCACCACCAACCGATGGCGTCGGTGGAAAATCCATCCTGACATTTGGCTGGTTGGACCTCACTGGTCACAACTTCTCACTAGAATTCCAGGAAACTCCGTCCTGTAGCAAGTTACTAGTGACTATCAGATTAATTTTCATGAGTTGGTTTGTAAGAATTAGATTTGTTTTCACGAGTTCAACCAACTCTGCCGATGATTCCCAAACTGGGATAAAACAGCTGTCCAGTACTCTACGCTGGTTTTCAATTGTTCTCTAACTGATATCAATCTGTTGGTCAAACTCGTAAAAACAAATTTAATCCTTACAAACCAACTCTTGAAAATGATTATGAGTGGCAATAATCTGTGTTTGAAATGTGGTCATCAGTAAATTTTACTGTATAACACTATATGACCTTATCAAAATAAAATTTTATCCATAATGGAATCGTACTTTCACTTAACTTATGATGAAATCTAGTTTAATCACCAGCATCATCCAGCCAAGGGTTATTCACCAATACGTCTTATTATTTGGTGGATGCTGACTAGCTGTAGAATCCAAGTGGCACATTTAGTCCTATTAGGGAATCGTCAATGGAAACAGCATCACTCACTGGGGAATGCAGGTACATCTAGTTACCTGACAAGTTCTGTTCATTGCAGGGTATATATTGTCAGGTCAAATAAATAGCTCAGAGTAGTAGGATGGGGTTAGCCAGACTAGCGAAGCATAAAAACCTAGCTATATCTAGTTTAGTTGACCCGAATACGATTAGAAATCTGGAGAACAGTCCAGCTATAGTGCTCACTAAAAGGAAATACACACGATCATACAATAGGATGATGGGATAAGATGGCACTTTTAAAATCTTATGTAAAAGGGTGGAGGGAGAGATCGATAATGGAAGCTTTATTCATCATGGAATCAACTGCAAACAGGTGTAATAGGAATGATTGAACACCTGTCCACTTGGACCTCTGGAAAATTATATTACCCCTACTACGACAAATAGGAAGGAGTACACAAAACTATAAACCTCAAGTTCCGAAATCGTGTGGTTATAAATGATTGGTAAGATTAAGAAACAGCAATAAATTGTGTTCGAAAATTTGTCATCTAGTAAATAGCAATACTGTTTCACTATGTGTGATATATCCATCTAATAAACAAATTAATATGGAATTACTTGTGTTCTGAACTTCACGCATAACCCAAGCGTTTCAGTTATTCGATTAAAAGTTCCATTGCTTACTGTCATCCCAGATTCTTTAGAAGAAGTTGATACTGTTGAGTGAGATTATGGGTGAGGTACTGATGACGAGTGGAGAACTAAGATGAAAAAAAAAACGCCTCAAGCTTTCTGATGTTCAATTATTCCCTAAATAATGTCTATTCATAATGGAACGTACACTAAAACTAATCAAGATCCTAACAATCCCGCCAAAAAATCATGGAGTCAGTTTTAATCTGACTTTATGTATTAATAATGGGTTAATATATTCATGAATGTGAGTTTTAAGTTCAACAGTAGAATGGTTGCCAAACACGCAAATGCTCCAGGTCTAGGTTAGCGGATGACGAACTCCTAAACCTCGATTAGCGAGTAGGAAATCCAGTAAAATCAGAAGGTTGGTACTGAGGGTATCAACCCCCCCTCCGTTTCGTATAAGACAATACCATGGCTACTGATATTTCAGACATCAAGCTTGAAGGCCCAAGTTCCAGACGGAAGCCAAAGGAATTAAGAGAAATCCATTCATAATACTTGGTCAGATACTTAATAAAAATGGCAAAAAATTAATAGTATTTTAAGTGTTTCTTACATTACATGCTAAACTCTAACAGCTTACCGTGTCATTCCAACATTGGAATTTGTCAAGGATAAAACTGGTTAAAAATGCCCATTAAAATTTTTAAAAGGAATGGTTACTGAACAAAGAATATTCACATTTTCGATAACCTGCTCTTCATCAGGTCTTACAGTCACATCCATCCATAATAGTGAATGAATGAATTAGTGTCATTAACAACAACATTAATGTTGTTTAAATTACATCGAATCAATAATTAATAATAATATCAATGGATTATAGTTCAGTGGCATCAACATAAAGATATACACTGAGTACCAGAATGAGAAATTAGGAAAAATAATAATAATAATTCATGAATTCATAGTCTCCACTGAAGGCCAGCCAGGGCAGCGGTAGTGGCTAGCTGGACTTGCTTCTTTTGCACACAAAGCACTGGTTGTTTCACGCGAATCGAGATAGCCTCTGCTGTTTGGAGTATGCAGTACCTGGATGTTTATTGGCAATTTATTTGGTACCCGATAGATGATAGAGAAGGATTCTACAATGCTGGCTAGCTCTGTGGCCAGTTTGGACCAGGTGATATAATATCGAAATGTTGATAATGCTTTTCACTACACCTTTATATAACTATACTGCATGAGCAGATAGTGAAACGTAGCTTCAAAGATGTATTTGAATTCGTAGACAAAATCTAAGATATTGATATCAAGGATAAACCTATGATATCTTTGGACATAACATCTTTATTCACAAATGTACCTCTAGTAGAAACAGTTAACTACATATATGAACAAGTGGATAACCAGTTGATAAACATTGGCATCTGTACTGAAATCTTAGAAGAATTGTTTTTAAGGTGTACCATGAATGTTAATTTCAAATTTGACGTCACACTTTACAAACAAGTGGACGGGGTGGCGATGGGCTCCCCATTAGGTCCCATTTTGGCAGATTTCTTTCTAAGTAAACCAGAAAATGGACCTTTGAACAACCTTATCAGAAAATTACCAATTTATTGCTGATCTATGGATGACACCTTTATTCTTTGTGATAATGATTCGGATAGGAACACAATGATAACTTAATTCAATGAAGTACATTCGGCTATGAAATTCACTTGTGAAGAGGAATCCCAAAATTGGATTGATTGCCCTTCCTAGATGTCCTCCCCACAAGAAAACCAGATGGTAGCATAAAGAGAAATTTGCATACGGAAAGTATATGGACAGGACAATATACACATTTTCACAGCTTCGTTCCTCTCCAGTACAAAAAAAATTTAGTAAGGACCCTCAGCCACAGGGTTAGAGCTATATGCTCATATCAACTTGATATGATTATGAGCAATAGTTTGTGCTCGAAACGTCATCAGTTAATATTACTGTATAACAACACTGTGTGATTTATCAAAATAAAATCTTATCCATTATGAAAAATTAAGTACCTAAACTAGCCACTTCTGATTGTGTCAACCGATTCAACTGTGCCTGTGGTGGAGCCAGTTGTATTGGCTGTTGCTCTGGGAACTTGATTTTTCGTGCTCACTGGGGAACATCTACCTGTGTGGTTAAATAAAGATGTAGTGAAAAACCATTATCAACAGTCCGATATTAGATCACCTTGTCCAAACCGGCCACAAAGCAGCCAGCATTGAAGAATCCTTCTCTATCATCTATCGTGTACCGAATAAGTTTCCAAAAACATCCAGGTACCTCATATTCCAAACAGTAGAGGCCATCGCGATTCACCTTAAACAACCAGTGTTTTGTGTGGAGAAGAAGTAAGTCCAGCTAGCCACTACTACTACCGTGACCGGTCTTCATTAGAGACTATAAATTCATGAATTTGTATTATTATTTTTCCTAATTTCTCTGTCTGATATTCAGTGTGTTTTGTTATGTTGACGCTGTTAAACTGTAATCCATTGATATTATTATTAATTATTGATTCGATGTAATTTAAACAACATTAATGTCGTTGTTCATAACACTAATCCATTCATTCACTATTATGGATGGATATATAACTGTAGAACGTGATGAAGAGCAGTTTATCCCAAATGTGAATGTTCTTTGTTCAGTAATCAATCTTTGGAATTAAGCTTTCACCACAATACCTTTTGCTGTTGCACTTGGACCAGACCACAATTGTATATTTGAATGATTCTCAACAGATCCATTCGATAGAATTTTTGATTTTGTATATGTTTTAGAACGTATGCATGAGGCATCTTCTTTTGTTGATTGATTTTCTGTTGAAATCTTGTCAATTGATAAAATAGAAGAATTTGATCTACTTATACTCGGTGTAATATTGTTCAATGTTAAATGATCAATTTTTGGTGACCTTGAAGTATAATAAATAAAAAAAATGTTGTGATGATTAATATAAATGAGTTCAATTTCAAGTATACAGTATTCTAAAAGGATTCAAATTATAAGAGTACAGCTGTGAGTTCAAGGGATCAAGAGTATTTGGTATTATGTTGTATGGTTATTATGTATTGTTAATTTCTGGTATTCTGATTTGAAGATATGGCTTCAGCTGCACATCTTCATCGGACTTACTTCCCTGAAATGATCATCAACTAATTTGGATATAAGTAAAAAACTTGGGCACTGTGGTAGAGTATAATTCCATTATGGATAAGATTTTATTTTGATAAAGTGTCACACAGTGTTATGCAGTAATATTAACTGATGACCACGTTTCGAGCACAATTTATTGCTGCTCATAATCATATCAAGGTACTCACACAACTTTTTTGCTTCGATTATATGCATGAGTAAAAATTGATGATCAGGCATTTGAATAAAAATCAATATAGGATCATGTACATTCAGAAATAATAATATGAGTGTTATTCATCAATTACAATCAGATGGGAAATAAGACGAGTGTTTTTATAGTGAAAATGAGCAACTTGTTAGAATTTTATGATGTACGTAAATTGAAATAGAATTTTAAGATTATTTATTATCCTCCTCTGATTTGACTGACTGGCGGTAATAATTTTTTCCATATCTCTCGTACTTGAGTTGAGCTATTTCTATTGCATGTGTCGTGTTGAGTGTGTAGACTCGATGAACCAGGCAGGATTCAGTAATCAATCTCTCTCTCCACCTACATAGATTACTTCTTAGAATCTTAACCCTCTTCCACCCGATTGTGTGGTTGTGTGTTCATGCATGCAGTGCAATGTAGTGCTTTTTTCTAAATTACTCATCTTCTCTGGGTCAACCATTCTTACCTCAGCTAAATTCTTATGTTCCGACAATCTGACTACCCTCGACCTACCAGTTTGACCTATGTAGTTGACTTAACTCGCAGTCACTATAGGGTATTTTGTAAATTATATTATTTTGTTTAATTGGGTCCACCGGGTCCTTTAGCCTCCAGAGTTTGTCCCTTTGAGTGAATTTGTAGGTTTGAATGCCACCATTATTCCTGCTTTATTATGAATCCTACGTAGAGGCCTCAGATGTCCCCTCCTCATATGGTAAAACTTTAGATGCCTTATATTCTTTCTTATTTATATTATCGTTATTAATTTCCCCCATTACTTTTATTTTGCTTTTGACCTTTTCTGATATTCCTAATGAATTGTATAGGATAGTTAGTTATTTAACACCAACCAGCTATTCTTCTATCTGTTTCATATCATCATTTAGGTTTTTTTGTTGTGCAACTTAGTGCTACTGCTCTGTCTGCTAGACACTTAATTAACTAAGTCTGCCTATACGGATAACATCACCAGTGAATATTTCTGTATAACACTCTCCAACTTTATCAAAATAAATTTTATTCATAATGGAATTCAGTCAACTTTATGACTGCATAAAAGCAGTTACTCCTTCCCTGCATGGTCTTCTGTATGTCACTCTCAGACACATCCTCGCGCTTTCCATTTCAGGTTCCACTCGATAATCTTACCTGTGTTTTTAAATTGAAAGTGTTTCTCCTCAGAGGATATTTAATCTATCTCAATTTCCTTCTGTGTATTTGTTGGGCGAAACGTTATTAACTGGTTCATTAGGGGAGTTCTGTGTTGCTTCTTTTCCTTTCCTTTCCAACCAACCATCTGTTCTTCATTATTCAGCGAAATTAGGTGTCAATGGAAATTTGAAGTAGTCTTTTTAGAAATGCTTTAGGTGACGCGCTCGCCAAGTCCTTGAATCATCTAAAAGTACTGACTATTTCAAATCACTGTTAAGGAGAATTCGTGTCTTGTTCGTTCGTTCAAATGCTGTAGATTTCCACACTAATTTAGCAAGAAAAAGCAGCTTGCATTGCTTTCCTGTTCCTGGACGAATTGGATCTGTGCCGCCTTTAGTTAAGACGGTGTTAACCAGGTAAATGAAACAGACAGTCCCTTTAAGATTTCTTTCATTGATAAACTCTTCATTCCAGAGATTAGCTAGTTTAGTTTTAGAGTGCCTTGAAGTTTCAGTAGAAATGGGATTACTAATCCCATGCTCAGTCTTTTCTCATCTCCACGCCATTTAGTTAAGAAGGTAGGGTTCGGTATTACATAACTCATTGTTTAGAAATAGTCATTTACTTTTAATAAAATTTAGAAAGAAATTTTCACTTAGACATTTAGAAAGGCAAAGGAATTGAGCGAAGAAATATTTACTTTTCAATTAGATACTCATCTTACTCTGGCTCTACTCGAATATACACGTATAGCACTTTTATTACAATACACAACAATTTACCAATCAAATGTCACTGATATGTTTGTTAACAATAATTAGTCAGTGTCAACATGCCAAACAGTGGGGTGATAATTAACGAAGAAAATTAATACACATAATTAAAAGGTAGAAATGGTTACAACAAGTGGATTGCATAATACGTAATTTTGGAAGAATGAAGAGTAATTAAGGAATAAGCGTCTGCACGGGTTGATTACCTAACAGATTATTAAAGAAAACAAAACGATTTGGACAATGATAACTTGTAACTAAGGGTGAAGTGGTCATAAGAATAAAGTAATTTGGAAGAATTTTAATTTTTAGCTGCAGAGCCAGCTACATTGGGCGTACAATTAGCGAGGTTCATCATCGTATTTCTGAACATCATCCAGCATGGTTAAGCATGGGACAAACAAGATCTATTTGTAGCTCTATTTTAGCACACCTTTTAGATAGTGAGCATAAGGTTGATGTTAATACTGCATTTAAAATTATTTATCGCATTCCCACTAATCTTAATTTTGCTCTACGAGTTCGTCTTCTACATACAAAAGCTGAAGCAATAGGAATCCACCTGTGTGTTCAGAAGAGATTTGTACAGCCGCTTTCCTTAACTGGGCCGTCGTTACATGAATGTATAAACAGGACTACTTCATCTCCCCTTCCCCCTAAACCTTAAAATTATAATTTTCCAAATTACTTAATTATTTTTCTCACTACTTCACCTTTAATTACATGTTATCATTGTCCAAATCGTTTTATTTTTCTTTAACAATCTGTTACGTAATCAACTTGAACAGTTGCTTATCCCCTCAAAGATCTTCATTTTTCGGAAATTATGCATTACGCAATCCACTTGTTGTAATCACTTCTACCTTTTAATTGTGTGTATTAATTTTCGATAAAAAAAGGAAGACGAAATTTGCACTATAAAATGATATCATTCTATTTCACAGGTTCTCATCAGCTGCAGACTACCTGATATCATTTTATACTGCTGATATCATCTTCCTTTCTTTATCGAAATTTACCAAGGGAACCAAACATATGTATTAATTTTCTTCGCTAATTATCACCCCACTGTTTGACATCTTGACACTGATTTATTATTGTTAGCAAACATATCACTGCAACTTGACTGGTAAATTGTTGTGTATTGTAATAAAAGTGCTATACGTGTATATTCGAGTAGAGCCAGATTGAGATGAGTGTCTAATTGAAATGTAAATATTTCTTCACCCAATCCTTTTTACTTATTATATTACTATATTCCTTTATGTTTTCAGTGGAACATGGGGTGTTTCAAGCAAGAGCTTTCAAGTTCCAGTAGCAGTAATGTTTATTTCTACGAGATGGGGTTGTTAGTCTCATGCCCAACCTTCTCCCTTTATCAGTCGTATTACTAGTTTAGCGAGGTAGAGGAGTGCTTCGGTGATCGGGGATTGAACGCTGAACCACATGAGGCGTGGTCGGCGATCATTCTACCGCTGTGTCACCGACGCACACTCATTCCTTTTACTTTTTACTAAAATCTCCTGAGATATTTAACGTCAGCTGAGGAAACTTCCATTTTTTGGCTTATATCATTGATACAAATCAATAAGAAGACGTAATTTGTCTGAACCCTGTAATGTGTATTTGTTTCACACATTTCAAACAATCTGATCACACACGAACTTGTCATAGGAATGAATATATATGAAATTAATAAAGAGTTAAGAGGTGAAAAAATAGACTTAGGTCACATTGAAAGGACATACTGAGGGTGAAAATAACAATCAAGACCACTAAACCAAATAAAAGAGATAATAGTACATCTACCCTGGCTGGTAACAAAACAACGTTTACCAAGGAAGGTGGTTTAGTGTGATGACGAATTGTTGCTTTGAACGCATAAGGGTGGTTTAAACTTCCTGTTTGCCAGTTACGGCTTGCACAAACTTTAATATACGCCCTCTCCTTAACACGTTTTATGCATAGATAGGTTTAAAAGATCTGTTAACGTTAATTTTATGTCCTGCCCCATCTATAATATGTTTCGCAATAGAGGATCTAGGTCTCCTGTTCTCACCACTAATGGGTTCTGAGGATTCTATCTGTTTTTGGAGCCATTTAGGAATATGCTGTGAAGCCAGCCCTCACTTGCAGAGATCGATGAGTTCTCCTTGTGTATGTGTGTCCACACTTACTTTAAAATTGGTAAATATAGTGGGATGTGACACCACTTTTCGCATGTTCAAAGGGCTTAGATGGATGGATATATTGACTTCACATTCTCAATTATTATGATATTAGCTGCATAAAAATTCTTTTTAACAGCAGCATTCAATCCTTGTCTACTTATCACTAGAACAATTTTTTTTAAACGATTTCGATTTATTTTACAGTAAATTAAAACAAAAAACTAATCAATCAGTATGCTTTGAAATTGAATATTCTATGGTTATTTACTTACAATAATTCGGTATCTTCTTGTTTTATTACATTTGTCGTATGAATATTCGCGTCATGCTTTTCATTCATAACTAGTAAGGCATTACGTAAACGTTTAGTTTGTTCCGTCAACAAAGTAATACGGAGTTCATTGGCTTGAATTTGTCCTTCTAATTCTTCATGAACAGATTTTACACCTAATAATAAAGAGAGTGAAAACAGAATTTTACATAAATATTGCTAAAAACATTACTGTAAGTAATAATAATAATAATGATCACTCTATTCCAAGTAGTAATTTTTCCTACAGAATGGGATTTTCAGTATTGAACATATTGAAACAATTTAGCTTCTCTTACAAATAGAAAGATAAATACATAAAATAGTAAAAAATAATTAAACTGAAGCAACTGAAACCAATGAGTAAGACAAGGCTGCCTACCTGTTATCACCCACGATGATATTCTTAATTGTGGTGGACTGGATTATGAGGAGGATAGTGTATGGGGAGTGAGAAGTCAGGAATACTCTGGACTGACCGATAGGAAAACTCTACAATATATGGATTTCGTGCGTGGATGATTTATGTTTAATATCACACAGACTGGAAGACTTGCAGGAGATAACCACCAAGCTAGCGGAAGAAACTGGCAT